TCAGGGGTAGCAGACCACCTCGATTCCCCATTTTTACCAAGCTAAGCACTACCTGAGTCCCCTGAACTCATCTGCAACTAGGCTTTGAAAAAGTGAAATCCAGCAACTTAGAAATCCCTGGATAAGTGTGAAGCAAAAGCAAAGCACATTTCAAAGGCTGCGGCGCGCTCAGTGCATGGTGTTTTCGTGAGGGGAGAGGACGTAGGACTGCATCCTGCAACTGGCTTACCAGAGCTTGACCCTGGACCCGAGAAAGAGGCGAGATTGGATCCCGAGGTAGAAAATACGATTTTTCTCTGAACACCATTTGCTGTTCTGTGTGGAGGGGAGCTGTAGTTCCTCACAAGAGGTGACTGTGCCCCCATGGCGGGCTGTGCTCGGCCCTTGGAGCGGGACTCACATCTGGGAGACTCCCGTGGAGCCCGAAGCAGCTTCTTCCGAGAGGACCCTCAGCCGGCGGCGCTGCTCGGCTGCCACTCGCCTTTGCCCAATCCAGGGCAATCGCCAGTGCGGCCGGGAACAGGCTGCAGCCTCCGCTCTGCCCCCGCGGCCCCGCTCGGCCCGGCCCAGGCGTCCATCGAGCCGCTCCCGGGGCCGCGGAGGGTCCCGGGCCGACCCGGCCCATCCAACCCCTCCACCGCCCGCCGGCCGCTCTCTGTCGCGCCTCACCCGCCCCCCTTCCCTGCGTCCTTTCCCGCAACCTCTGTCCTTCCAGCGCCGCAGCCCCGGCAGCGATCGCGGCCCGCGGGGCCGGAGCGGGTTTGTACGAGAGCCAGGGCGTGGGCAGCGTGGGACCGGAGCGGGGCCCTGTGAGCCCCGTGGGGTGGGCAGCGTGGGCTGCTCACGGTGCCGGGAGGAGCTCGCGGCCAGCCCCGTGGACACGGTGTCCACGCCGCCCGACCCTGGACCCCAGGAACGGGCTCCACGGGGAAGTCGGGAGAGCAGAGGGTTCCCATTATATACCTGCCCGGGTCCCGGGGCAGCACCCCCCGCCAAGGGCCGCGCAGCGTCCTGCGGAGCGAGCTGCGGGGAGCCACCCGTGCGCCCGGCCGTCGTGGCACCGACCCCAACTGAGCCCGGCCCTGGGAGCGGAGCAGCTGGACAGCCCGCTGGGGTCAGAGAACACTCCCAGGGAAGCCCTCCTGCTGCCGCACCCCCTCGGGTGTTCTGCGAAACCCACAATCCGCCCGCGGGGTCCCTTGTCCACATCGGCGGCGGGGGAAGGAGCTGAAAACCTTCCGAGCCTACTGCGACCCCGCGGCCCCCCGCCTCTCCCGCACAGGCGGTCCCGGGTCTCCTGTCAGAGAGTGTTTATTCATCGCATAAACAGAAGCGAAAGGAATCAGGCGGGCAGAGCCGATAGCTCAGTGGAACCTTAAGGGCCTTCCAGCATGGAGTTACCGTGCTCACCGAAATCAGGACATCCTTACAACGTTGTGCCTGTGTATTTATAAACAACCCGCCATGATTTCCAGCTTGGCTTTGCCTTCCATTAAGGCAAATGCTCTTTTACATAATATGATTACTGTTCTAATCTGCTCTGTCCCCAGCACTTTCCCTGATGACAGCGTGACATAATTAGCAGATGTCTAAAAAGTCAACTTCTAGATGAAGTGTTCACCGTGATTTCAGAAACGAAAAAATGCAACACTTGATTTGAACACACACGGGTTTCATCCAGATATGTTCAGAGTGCAGCGACTAAAAGATCAAATAAGTAGATTTGAATAAATGAAGAAAAAAATATTGCAGTTACACACTGGGATGCCGAAATTATTCCCTGAGCTTTCCCCCACTGTGCTAGGGCCAGCGCTGCAAAAAGATGCAGGGCTGCATCCCACCAACTCTCTTCTTGCCTTCTGCCTCCCCGCCCCAGCCCCTAGAAATAATTACCCCCCAAAAAAAAACCCAAAACAAATAATAATAAAAAACCCAAACCAAAACCAACCCTAAATTGCATCAGGTTCAGAATGTTGGCCAGGAACCACTGGCTCGAGAATCCAGTTAGGAAATAGAAATTTTGCCCTTAGACTGATCAAAATTAAACAACACAGAGCTTGACACTGGAAGGGCCGTGAACAAAAGCCGCATCTGCAGCCCTGGAAGATCCTGGACCCACAAACCAGAGACCGACAGCCTAGCCCAAGGAAAATGCATTGCATTGATTTGGAAAACAAGTCAATAGTAAGAGATGGGGTTCGTTTAGTTTTCGTTAAAACAGCCCAGGGCCAAGGATTCAAGGCTAGTCCAAACCCTGTAACTTATCCCAGTGGCTGAACCCAGTGGGGATGCAAACTCAGGAGAGAGCAATCCTGAGGGCACTGGCTCGGTTCCTTTTTCCCCAGCCCACAGAGGCCCCACAGCCCAAGACAACGGCGATCTACAAATGGAAAACCTCTGGATACTTGCAGGTGTGCAAACATCCAAGTAGTGTAAGGAGGTGACTGAGACAAGACAGGAGGGTTTGGGGGAACTGAACCTTGTCCCGCACGGGTGTCGGGCTTCCCTCTCCGAGCCGTCCCTCCCTCCGAGCTCTCTCCTGCCAGCAGCTGGGAGGGCGGGGGAGAGGTGAGCGGGCGCGGGGCAGCGCTGCTGCGGGGATCGCGCGTCTCCACAGCCGTCTCCATCCCCGCTGTCTCCACAGCCCTGCGGCGTCCCGCAGCGCCGCTCCCGCCCCGCCGAGTCCCGCGGGCAGCGCGGAGGGACCCGCCGGGCGGGCGCTGGGATGCGCCGCCCGAGCACCGACCACGCCGTGCCCGGCGGGACCGGTCGGGGGTGGGCGCCCGGCTCACCCCGTCAGTGGTCTCGGTGCCCGTTTTTCCACAAGCTAACCACAGTGGCAGTATTAATGTCTCACAGGACTTGTTTTAACGGGAGAACAGACTCCAGAGAGAAGCACTCAGCCACACGCACTTGCGGTTCGGTGCAGTCTCTGATGAAGGAGTCCGTATGCCAACACTCTCTCCTTAAAACAGCCTTAATTCTCCGCGTTCAGTATTTTCGTCGTGCTGTGTGTACCGTCAAAAATTTTAAAAAATCCCTCCTATGTGTGAATGATGAGCGCTCCCACCCCCACACATCCTGGCTTTACTCTTGAGAGAGAGGTATTGGAACCAGACGCAGTTCCCGTCGGAGGGTTCCGCCAGAGTCCCTCGCTCTGCTCTCGGCGTCGGCAGGACCAGACCGGGGCCACTCTGCCCGTCCCTCGGCAAGTTCCTCTTCCGTCTCTCTCTGCCGAGATCGCGACGACCCGCCGCGGGGTCCTACCCAGCGCCCCAAAAGGGGGTACATCCCCCCGATGTGCATGGAGACGGCAGCGGGAGAGCAGGGTTCGCAGAGTCAGGAATTCCCTAAAGACTGTGTGTCCGCCTGTTTACATCTCTTCAGAAAACGATGCAGGGAATATGCACTAAAATATCGAGAGCGTGTAATTTGAGCGATGAAGTTTAGTCTGGACTTCGGAGAGATGGGTGATACAAGTGCACGGGCGATGCACGGGTGAATCCTGGATAACTAAGCCCATGCTCTTTCCACGTCCACCCTGTACACGTTATAGCGTTTGTTCTCGGAAATAACGCCTCTCCTTAATTACCTCGGCAAAATCGCTCGCCTCTTGCGAAGCCCCTCCGGCCGTAGCAATAACCCGGCTCTGCTGCCGGACTATTCTCTGGACGCGTTTTCCTCCTGACTCCCCGCAACTCCGGCGCCCCGAGGCCGCTGACCCAGCCTGCGCAGCCCTTGGGGAGGCCCCAGGTGAGCCCCGACAAGCACCGCACCCCCGCAGCGCGTCCCACTGCCCCGCCTCCGCGGAGACCCTCGCACTGTGCGGGGCTGCCCCGGAGCCTGGGGGCGGGCGAGGAGACCGGGGCGGCCAGTGCAGCCGCGCCCGCTCGTCTCCTGGGGGAACCTGTAGGAAACACGGAGATTTCCCGCACGCTGCTTTTCCTCCAACACCGCAGTACGAATTACCGCTGCTCGTAATCTCACGATCGCCGCGGGGAACGACGCGGAGACTGACTTTACAGACTCCTACTGCAGTATTTTCAGACAGAAAAGGTACACAGGAAGGGAGTTATTTCATAGAAATCTAACCCTCAGCCCTCCGCGGAGCACACACCAACCTCATGAATTAACTCGTTGACGGCGCAGGAAAAGGACCGACAAGCAATAGCTTCGACTCTGCTCCCGGCCGTGCCTGTTCCGCCGCACACGGGCTCACCACGGGTTCTCATCACGGTGGCCCAGCTCCTCCACGACGCATCCCTCGGAGCCCCCCGTCAGGTGCTCATTTTCTGTCGTGCCGTCTGCGACAGACGATAGCGGTCCTGTCGTGCCTCTCTCGTTCACGGACGGGGAGATCCGCGCAGAGGGCAGGATGGGAGCCCGGGGGATCCGCGCTGGAGCAGCTCCGAGCCGAGCGCTCCGCCCCGCCAGGACCCGCGGGGACGCCCGAGCTCTCGGGCGGGGGTGCCCCGACCCTACCCGGCGCAGATGGGGAGCAGAGCCCGAGCGGGAACCCCGCTGCGTGGGGGCCCCAGAACGCGCCGCGAGGGGCGAGTACCGGGCGCTCTGCGGGGCCGCAGCGCGTCGCCTGCGGGGCGGGTGGTGGGTCCGGGCTAGGGGGCCGCGGGACCTGACCCCACGAGTCCGCTCGACCGCACGAGTCTTCGAGGAACGGGGTCCGAGCTGAGGATTGCGCAAGCAGCCCGGGGTCCTTCGGAGAGACTCCCTAAAACCGGCTTCGGGCCAGCATGGGGGCGGGCCGGGGCCGGGACTCCCAGGGGCGGTGTCCATATTCCCCGCCGCCGCTCGGGGCTCTGGCCGCCGGGCCGAGCGTCGGTCGCGATGCCCTGAGCCAAGTCGCGGCCAGAACAAACTCCAAAGCCCTGCTTGCCTCATTATGGCAGTGGTGTCGAGGACACCGGGAGTGGATGTCTGTAAGATTCTGCTCGGTGTTCGATCGGTTAAAAGCGCTGGACAAACGAGTGATTGACGGGACGTCCCAGCGTTACCGTGACTCGGCTCAGCTGCTCGTTCACTTATAGTCCTGCAGGATCGGGCCCGGGGATTTCAAACAACGATCATCTTTTTTAGAGGGATAAAAATAGGGGACTTCTCCTTTCACGCAGCTCCTCAAAAGGAGAATTCCCTTTAATCAAGCCCATCGTGTTTGTAAATGTATGGGCAATTCTCTCAGTTCGCTTTACCGAGACTCAACAACGCGTCCTTCATCCATGGTCAGGCGGGGCTGAAACAAAGAGGTAAGGGGGAAGATGGAAACATAACGATAAGTTTAATTAAAAGCAGCTGGCTAGTTAAATATGTGCCGAGGAGCAGATACCCAGTTATTTACCTCACTTGTGATGGACAAGCTGCTGCTTTATTCTCCTCTAATACCCGAGAACTGCATCAGTGTTTGATGTGAGGGAATACTGCGGACAAGATTTGTGATCGTGGAGAAGCGGTGCCGTAACCCACGGCCGCTCACGGAGAAACGCGGGCTGGTTTTGCGGGTAGTGGGGGCAGCGAGCCTCCGCACCCTCTATTCGCGGTGCCACCGGGACGCTGGGGTTAATTAGCAACACCTGCGGGAGCTCAGAGCCGGAGAAACGCTTCGGCAGCTCAGGTGCTTCTATTTTAGCTTAATGAAAAAGGTTTTATCACGGGATCTTGGAGGCGTTAGCAGGAGGAGAAGTAGTAGCAAGGCGGGTGCAGGAGTTGGGAGTGTGAGCTAGAGGAATTCGCCTGGGCTTTGCGATTTAGGAGTGTAGAAAAATCATTCCTGTCATACGGACTCTCGCTTTCTGCCGTATTCATCTTCTTCGCTCATAGAGAAACGTAATTGGAACGTGTGTTTAGACTGAGGTGGAGGGGGAAGCTGTGGTAAATGATGAAGACGAATGGGGGGATTCTCTGGGGTTTTTTTGTTGCTGTTTTTTTATTGTTGATGATGTTGGGGGGTTCCCCCCCCCCCCCGCACTAAGCCCGCGCGGGCTCGCTGGTGGTGATAACGGCCCCGACGCGCTGGAAGGCGGGTTCTGCGCAGGAGGTGAGGCCAGCGGGGCAGGTCCACCCACTTGAAAACAAAACTTTTTTCCTGCAGGCGCTGAGAGCAGAGATCGGCGCGGGGTCCCCGGAGCCGGCTCGCCGCCCACCGGGGGCTGGTATGCGGTAGGGCAGGGCCATGTATTGGAAGAGTGACCCGATGTTCGTCTGCAGGCTGGAGGACAAGGACCTGCCCGCGCTCGGCGGCCCCGCGGAGAAGGTGCGCGGGCGGGGGAGCGGCGCGGTGCGGTTGGTGGGTCTGGCGGCTCCGGGCGCGGCGCTCCCGCCGGGCCCGGCGGACACGGCGGTGGCGGGGCCCGCAGGTGCCGGTGGGCCGGGCGGGGCCGGGCGCTGACCGAGGTCTCCCCGTGCTCCCTCAGGCCAGCCCCGCCGCGGCTGACGAGGACTCCTGCTCTTCCTCTGCCGCCCTGTCGCCCTCCTCCTCGCCGCGGTCCATGGCCTCGGGCTCGGGTTGCGCCCCCGGCAAGTGCGTGTGCAGCAGCTGCGGCCTGGAGATCGTGGACAAGTACCTGCTCAAGGTAAGGGCGCCCAGCCCGGAGCCCCCCGCAGCCAGCGCCTCTCCCCTCCCACAGGCCTGGCGCTTGGGTTGCTGGGGGGAGCCTGCCGCGGCCGCCTCGGGAAACCGGGCCCGTCGGGCTCCGAGGGTACAGCTCCCCGCGCCGGGCCATCGCTGCGGCTCAGCCCTCCCCTCCCGAGACACGGGAGCGGCACCGCGGAGCCACAGCGCGCTTGTTCTCGGGGTTCGGGCCGGAGAGGGAGCCCGAGCTGCCGTCGGTGTTTCAGGTGACGCTGCCGGTGTTGAGGTGTGTTTCTCTGACGCGCCGGGAGAAGTGGGAACGGGAACGAGCGGTCCCGACGACGGTGCCCTCTCGGTCAGACGGCAGTGGCGCGATCTGTGTGTCTACTAAAGTAGATCTGGGGGACGTTGTGAATCTCAAAGCCAAAAGTGCTCTTGAGAAATGTTATTCCTATAAGAGATGGTCAAATAGTATTTGGGAAGGAAGCGAGCTCTGTGTGTGCAAAGCACCTCTCTTCCCTAGCAGTCAGGACACAAAAGCCTATTTAAAAACAAATAAAACTAAGTGAGTTTAAACATAAGGTGTTACTGGGGGCGGGCGGGGGACATTAGGGAGGTGTGTGTGTCTATGCTATTTGCCTTCTGTGTTAGAGCTGTTAAAATGATTCTGGATCAGACTTTTGTCCTCTTTCCCTTCAAAAGGGAGAATATAGGATCATAGCAGAGTCACTTGGTTCCATCAACCTTAAACAAAGTCTTTGTATATTTGCTAAGTGACAGTTGGTGACACCGCTGGAAGCAACTCGGTGGTGTTATTAGGTCATTCACTTAGGTCTTGGTTGGGGTGGGGACATCCGAGGAAAATATGTGCTGGGCTGGTGTTTGTTTAAAGCAGGGTCAGTGCAGGAGCTGCCAGGCGCTCGTGGTCCGAGTGATCTGGTCCCCCGCACAGGAGCTTGGGCTGGCACAGAATGGGAGACCGGACAGATAGCAGAGCTGACTTGAACTGTGTTCCAGCCCGGTTCCTGTTACCTCCTGTGATACTTTGGCAGCTCATTTATCGTTTGCTGATCATCTTTGCGTCCTTTCTGAACAACGGGGATAACGGGACTTGGAGCAAAAGGCCTCTAAATGATTTAGCCTTGAGTTTAAATTTGCTGTTACTGCTTCCTGTGGAGGCAGAGAGGAATCCATGCTGGTGTGCTGCTGTGTACTGCCCAGCAGCGGTACAGCTTCCAACTTCAGCCCTGTCAATTAATAAGTAGGAACACAGACAAGTAACATCAATTGAGACAACCTCGGAAGCTGTTGGTGTCCTGCTCTGTGGAAAAGCATTGGGCTCCAAAGAAGAGGCAGGGAGATGGGCTCTTTGAGGCTGGGTTGTCAGCTCAGGCTCTGCAGAGCTGTGCAGGCTCCTCTTGCCTGTGCCGGGGCTTGGTGTGTGTCGGGGGAGGCCTAGGGAGCCTTGGCATGGCAGAACTGGCTGTGGGGCAGGCTCAGTCTGGCCCAGCGCTGCCCCCCTGCTCTGTGGCCCTTCTAAGAGATAGCTGGGATAGTCAGTTTGGTGACAGCTGCTATCAGCAGTTTCATATTATATTGTGGTATAAATTTGTCAGCTTATGGGAAGGTGGCTGCCAACAAGGATAGTAGTTGGGAAAGCATTGGGCAACTGCAAACCACAGTGTTACAGTCTGAAGAGTGACTGAAATGGGTGATTCCAGCATGAGTGTTGGAGCTGATGCCTCACTTTTTCTATGGTTTGTTTGGTAGTGCTCTGATGAAAGGCATATCTTGTATTATTTAAAATTTGCTTTGCCCTAGGTTGTATATGGGCTGTTTGGTATGAGATGAGAAATTGGCTCAGGAGAAAAATAATTATAAAATCTATACCTAATCATTGTTTGGTTTACAGGATTTCTCCTTTGCAACATGGGATTATCCAGAGGGTTATTACTTAATTTGTATGGTCGCTGAGAGTTTTGGGTTGTCAAATTATTTATTTAGGTGATGTGCAATGTCTGTGCAACAAAGAGTTCCCTTTATAAGAAAGCAGAAGTCAAAATAATTGTTCTCGATTTATTTGCCCCAAAATTGTATGTGGGTTTTCACAAATACTGATTTCTGCTGCATTCCACAAATGTGTCTAGTTTTGCTATGGATATATTAAAGATGTGTTGGATTTGCTATTAAAACAAGTGCTGCTGTTTTGGAACTTGCGCTCCATTTATCAACTTTGTTTTAACAGAAATCTGGCAAATGAAGATGTTGTTCATGGTATGTTTCTATTTGATGGATTTTATCTTCCCCCCTTCCCTTTTAATATTCACATTTTAAAATTCCAGATCACTTTGCAAGGTTTGGTTTTTGTTAGGGAGGACGTTTCACAGACTGGGAAATAGAAGTATGTAACTTAGCTGCCTTTGCAAGTTCATGTAAGGCCAAAACTTGCTCTGTTACTCTAATGCTATGAGAACAGAACTAGGCACAAAATATCTCTGTGGAACTTGAATCTCTTGCTTCCTCTTCTGATGCTTTTAATTACAAAACCATGAAAGCTTATTCTGAAGATCTGCATCAAATTAGTTAACTCTTAATATGCATGCAGTTCTATAGGAAAAGTGTTTTGCATTCAGGATAATTTTTCTGTGAATCATGGTACGTATAACTTTTGACCTCATCTGGAAAAAAAAAAGGGGGTTGTAAATCTAAAATATAATATTGCAAGCACAAGCATTGAAGGGTATTTTTCTGTTGGGTTTTTGTAGGTAAACGACCTCTGCTGGCACGTACGCTGTCTCTCGTGCAGCGTTTGCAGAACGTCCCTGGGACGGCACACCAGCTGCTACATCAAAGATAAAGATATCTTCTGCAAACTGGATTATTTCAGGTACATCATTCTGGAACCTAAATTATCAGATAACTTGTTACACTTGCTTGTTACTCTTCACTTAAGCCACAACTGAAATGCACTTGAGGTTCTTTATTCTTTATTTGCTAGGTTTATTTTCAGTGGTTTAAAGTCTGATTTTTCTTGTGGAGGAACTTGGGGAGCCTTAAGTCTGTGTAATGTAACTGCCTGCTAAGTCTCTCCTCCGCCCCTCCACTCTTGTGCACAGCTGCTGCATTTAAACCATCACTTCTGTATGCACAGAGGGAAAAAAGCTTAGAGTCCTTGCCACAGTTAGAGCATATCGTATGTGCAGAGAATCGTCCTTGGCTGGCTGAGAATGCAAGGTAGAGTTGAGGCGATCTGTTTGGAGTAGTGCTTCTCTGGTGTGGGACTTAGGGCATCTCATGGAGCTGCAAAATCAAGCCAGGATAAATCCTGTGATCTTTAAAAGAATATTTCAGTAGTTATACCTTTCTGTGATCAATTTGATTTAGAATGTGAAGCATTAAGGGCTAATTCTGTAAGGAAGAATATTATTTACTTGGGTTGTTAATGTAAGTACTCAGGATGCAGTCTTCGGTACATAAAGTAGCAAAAATTGTTGCTGTCAATTTCAACGTGATTGCTAGTACTTCACTAGTTTGATTGCTAGACCAGACTATTTATGGGATTCTCACCTGTGCTGGGAATAGATTAAATCCACCTAGTCAGGTTTGAAACTGAAAGAGAGGAAGGGGGCAGGCTGAATGTTGTGAACTTCTGGAAACACTAAGTTTTGTGGGACTTAAAATAAGAACTTGAGTCTGTAAAGATTTTCAAGACAAATTCTTACCTAAATAATCAACGTATCTGGGTGGTTAGTTTCCTCTTCAAAGAGGAATATTCTACTCTAATAATGTAAATACTTGCAGATATTTGAATTTATTTAAAAATCATAATGTGATGTTAATTGAGGAAATAACAATGAAAATACAGGTTTTCTCCCTTCTGCTGAAGGTGCTGAATTATTAGTGAAGGATGATGTAGCTAAATATAATAATTCAGACTATCCCTGGATTAATGTAAATATCTGAATAACTGGGAAACTTTGAACACACTCAGCTGTTCCCCTCTCTCGCAATTTTTAAGAGTAATTATCTTTGTTAAAGGAAAGATGGAGAGCTGTGACTTCACGTAGCAGTTAAAACGCTTCAATTTTGTGTTTTGCCTTATGAAAATCCTAACCTCTGTATATCAGTAGCGGTCTTGGCCTTAAGCAGTCCCCTCATCCCCTGTGCTCAGCTGGGGTCTCGTCTACGCTGCCACACCCCGGTCACCTCTACCCCTGCCGGGGTCCGGCTTTGCTGGGGGTGGTCGTGTCTGGCTTCACCCCCGGTCAGCGTTTTCGTTTCAGGCGCTACGGCACCCGCTGCTCCCGCTGCGGGAGGCACATCCACTCCACCGACTGGGTCCGGCGGGCCAAGGGAAACGTCTACCACCTGGCGTGCTTTGCGTGCTTCTCCTGCAAAAGGCAGCTTTCAACGGGAGAGGAGTTCGCTTTGGTTGAAGAGAAAGTCCTTTGCAGAGTACATTACGACTGCATGTTGGACAATCTGAAAAGAGAAGTTGAAAATGGTAACGTGCTTTTGTTAAGAACTGTGCTTGTGGTTCAGCGTTAATTAAATTGTTGGGTTTTATTTCATCTTCCTTATTAAGGGGTAATTGCCTGGCTTTAGTAAGACTGGAAGCACAGGTTCTTGAATTAAAATAATGTGCAAATTATTTCACTTTCCGATTTTTTTTGTGTTTGTATAACTTGTTTTCTATCCTAAGGAAAAGAAGCAGGAGTATATCTTGTTGATAAAATACCATGCTAGATTTATTTCTTCTTTCACTTGCAAGGGAGTCGTTTGGGGCATAATCTGTAATGGTGCCAGATCAATTTAACTTCAAATAGAATATGGCTTTTTAAAGCTGAAATTCAGCTGACCAAGTGCTGTCGGTTATTGTTGGAGAACCGTCTGACTTATGAATAACATCACTGTGAATGTGTAGCGGCAGTATTGTTTTCTTTTTAATGTTTCAGGTAATGGGATTAGTGTGGAAGGAGCATTACTAACAGAACAAGATGTTAATCATCCAAAACCAGCAAAAAGAGCTCGGACCAGCTTCACAGCAGATCAACTCCAGGTAGAGGCAGTGCTAAAAATTTGTGTAGCTCAGGTTTATGCAGGACATGGGTGCTGAACCAATAGGAAGTTGGATGCATAGAGAAAGAAAACAAAAAGCTTGCATGCTTTAAAGTATTTCATAAACTATCAAGACACAGCATGTTTCTGGAATTGTTTGTTAGCTTCAGCAGTTTAATATGAAATAGTACTCTTCAAGCTTTTTATTTCCCTGGGGGCAGACAGTAATTCTGCAGAGTGGAAACAAAAAGGTTGTTCTGTTTAGATTGCTCAATGAAATCTATTTAATCAGCAATTTACATCACTAAACAAAATATTTTTAGAATTATGTAATGTGAAAAGTTGTACTAAAGATTGGTACTGTATGTGACTTCAAAACATTAATGGGATGGAAGTTGCAATTTTGTTGTAATGGCTGCATCTGCTCTGCTTTCAAGGCTTCTTGTCTTGTTGCTGCCTTGTCAAGAGTTAGCTCTGGATTGTCTCAATAGGAATTATTTCACCCTGTGGATCACACTTCACTTAAATCACTTCACAATTCACTTTTCTAGGGAAAAACACCAGGGCTAGGGCCAGCTTCCAATGAAGGGGCTGATGGTGAGACCAGATTTAGGGATTTCAACCTGCAGTGGGAAGGAAGCTGTGGCTTTCTGCCTAATCCTAGCTCTGTTTTTAGTTTGTATCAGGTTTTTGAATTTCTGGTTAAAGTGTGAGTTGTATTGTCCTGTCCTCCTCTTTTTTCTGGTGAAAACAGTTGAGGAAAAACTAATGTTGAGGTGTAATAACATGTGGGGTGTTAAAGGAGTGCTGTCTAACAGGGCACGGAGCTGTTCAAAGCTTGGTTTTCTATTTCAGTAGTGACTAGAGACAGAAGGTGGTAGTAACACAAAACAATTATTGTAGTAACAGTCCAACAGGTGCACAGGGCAAAGGCTCTGTACATTGGGCTTGAACTTCTGCAAAAGGGAACTTTCTTTTCTGGCAGTAGCTGAAAGCGAGATAGGCCCAGCTGTCGGGGCAGGAACTGTATTCAGGGCTTCTTCCCAGCTGCTGTCATTTAGGTAGATTGTAACATACTTCAGCAGGTGTTTGAGATCTTAGAGCTCCTGGTTCTTTAATGACACTTTATCTGCTTGTTGCACCTCTGTGCCTATCTTTGAGGCTGGTGTAAGAGTTCGAACAAGAGAAGCATCATAGGGACGGGTGCCTGTCAGAATGGCAGCATGCTGCTACTCACCTCATAGAGTACTTGTACAAAACAATGTCCATGCATTTTGATATTTGTGTTCTATAGCACATTCCACTATCAAAAGGGGCTCCAAGAGAGCTGGAGAGGCACTTTGGACAAGGGAATGGAGTGACAGGACAAGGGGCTTCCTGCTGCCAGAGGCAGAGTTAGATGGGGAGGAATTCTTCCCTGTGTGAGGGTGGTGAGGCCCTGGCACAAGCTGCCCGGAGCAGCTGTGTCTGCCCCATCCCTGGAAATGTCCAAAGCCAGGTTGGATGGGGCTTTGAACAATCTGGGCTAGTAGAAACTGTCCCTGCCCATGGCACGGGGTGGAACTGGATAGTCCAACCCAACCCATTGTGTGATTCTATGAAACAGCAGAAGAGTAAATAGTCTCTGAATGGGGAGAGTAGAAGTTTGAATCTTCAAAGATGAAACCATGCAAAATTTTCAGAGTCAAATTGAGGGTCGAAAATCCAAAAATGAGAAACTAACGCTTTTGAAATTGCTGAAGATATCTGCAGAAATCCACGAAGTTTTACTTCCATAAACAGGGCAAACCCTTAAAGCCTCTGAAAATGTTCAGAATGCAGGGCAAGTTGACATCTACTTCCTCAAAGAAGTGCAATTCATATCCTGATGACAAGTGTTGACTTCAATTTTCTGTAAAAAGATGAGTGTAACCAAATCATTACAATGGGATGGTCAGTCAAAGTGGGTCCCTTGGGTTGGTTAAGGGCAAAGAAAGCACAAAGTGCTTCCCAGCTCCTGCATCCTCCATGGAGATAAAAAGAAGGTCAAGTTGCTCCATGTAATACAAGGTGCAGATAGTGATTAACAAGTTCAGGGCGGTGGATCATGGCTTGTTCCTTCCTTATGCTGTGATCTGCTGCTATAGGCTTTTCTTTTTTGAGCGTATTTGAATCATTTTGCAGTGAATTTTCTCGTACAGTTCTTTTAACATTTTCTTACAGAGCACCTCTTCCAAGTATAAAAGCATAATCCATTTTTTTCATTTCTGGTAAATCTCACAGCTCAGTTAAGCATAGTAAGAGTTTGTATTTTGGCTTGGGGGGATTTTTTTTTTTTTTCTCTTAACATACTGGGGACTGTCTGGAGACTAGTTTAGGAAATAGCAGTTTCCTAAAGACAGACAAGTAGTAGGACCATGGTCTGAGAAGAATCTAATGCTGCTTTCAACACAAATGATCCTGCAATCTCTTATCTTGCCTTTTCAGGTTATGCAAGCACAGTTTGCTCAGGACAACAATCCAGACGCACAAACGCTTCAGAAACTGGCAGAAAGAACAGGCTTGAGCAGGCGTGTTATACAGGTAACAGTGCAAAGTTACTTGACTAACAAAGTCTAGTACTCATCCACTGGAAATGCTTAATGGAAATTTTCTCCATGTAGTTTTTCTGGCATGGAAAAAGATCTAATCTGGCAATTTTATAACATCAGACAACATCCTTAGTCAGGAATAGGTCTAGAACAAGCATGGTAATTTGGAAAACTCGCTGTATTTCTCTTGTGCCTTATGTGGAACATTAACAGTCTTTCATGAAGAAATTTCTCAGCCTAAATAATACAGAAATTGGCCTAAGTTATTCCAAATACAAATTTCTGACTGTAATAGTCTGTTCTTAAAATCTACGCTATTTTTGAAAATGCCTTGTGGTATGACACGTTAGGAGCAAGTGAATATCTAGTCATCTGTTCTAGAGAGCAGAGTTAAAATATATACCCATGCCATCCAAAACTGAAACAGACTTGGAAGCTTTGCTTGAAGATGTCTCTTAGCAAACATTATATGGATGCTTTTTTATATAAATATGATTTTTAATAGACATTATATATAATGTTAATATAAATAAAAATAAGTTTGGAGTTCCCTTGGCTCATTCTAGCCTGGAAGATTAACAGTGTTTCTGCAGAAATGAGGTGCCTGGCAGGTTGTTGTTATGCTAATGTTGAATGCAATCTATCAACGTGATGTACCTTTCCCTCCTTTTCAGGTGTGGTTTCAAAATTGCAGAGCACGCCATAAGAAACATGTTAGTCCTAATCATTCATCTACTGCTCCTGTCACCGCAGTTCAGCCCTCCAGGCTGTCTTCACCCATGTTAGAAGAAATGGCATACTCTGCATATGTACCCCAGGATGGGACTATGCTGACTGCTCTGCACAGCTACATGGATGGTAGGTATAACAGCTTTGCTGTTTTTCTCCTAGTAAAATCATTATCAACTGTAGCAAGAATGGTTTACCAAGTACTGATTAAAGAAACCTAATGGAATTTTAATTTTTGGTATGCTCTATAGAACATAGCAATACTGTATTTGCTATTTACACCTTATTGAGAAAGCAGTCTCTCTTCACTGTAAGAGCATGGCTGAAGATTTGGGTATGAAGACCACTGCTTGTATTCCTCCAGACTATTAAAACTATAATAAGAAATTAAACACTTATTTAAACATCCACGCCATTATTTTAATAATAGGTAATTTTAATTAAAACTGTTTACCACTTGCTCCCAGGGACTGTAGAGATGCTCTAACGAGCAGCTTCTCTGAGAGCTTCACCTTCTCTCACAGTAACACACAATGCAGGGGGAGAGAGCCTGGTGGTCAAAAGTGCTTTAGTCATTGTGTGTCTTATGACCCAGCAAGTCAACAGCTTTGGCTCCTATTTGTGGTTTGGAGGTACTGTGAAGATTTTGGGAGAATCAGTCTGAGCTGCACATGTGGCCTGAGCTGTTTTTGTCCAAAGCAGTGGTGTAAGGTGGGCTGTGGGTGGAGGAATAAGGGTGCTGGGCTAGGGGAATCAGAGCATGCAACAGAGTTGGGACAGTGAGCTGTCACTACCCAGTGGGATTTACTAGCTTATAATCTTTTTCTACCTCTGATGAAATTAACTGGTAATGTTTGTTTTTGTAGCTCATTCACCTACAGCTCTTGGACTCCAGCCTTTGCTACCCCATTCAATGACACAACTGCCACTAAGTCACACCTAATTCCTTTCTGTCAGGGATATAAGCTATTAAAGATGTAACCTTAAGTCATAGTGTATTGAAAATATCATTGGAAAGATGTTAATGTTAACTTTTTATTTAACATCTAAAGCATTTTCAAGATAATTTTTGCTGCCCAGGTATGTAAGTATATTTAGCCTGCAAGACACTTTTATGGATTCTGCATAAATAACTATTACATTGTTTACAAGCCTTATTAAACACCTTTTTGTATTGTCTGGAAGTAGTCCACTAGTTATGTGTGTGTTAATTTATTTGTCATCAAAAGAGCACTTTGCCTAAAAGAAAGGACTGACAATTGTGCAAAATGTTTACAATTCTTTGTGAAATTGTAGTTTATCATTAGTTTGTATCTGTAAGTTATTGCTAAAAGTATTACCTGTATTTGAGTTGTACACAGCCTATATGTTAAAGCTTATTTCTGTGAGTTTACAAAAATACATTTTGGTTGCAAATATTTTCAAAAAGAACTGAATAAAGTTTCTGCTGTAGCATGCCAAGCAAAAGTGTTGCTGTGTTTATGGCTGAACTGTGATCATTTGTCAAGTGTTTAACTCGAATCTTCAATTTTAAGAGAAGGCACCTGGTATACTTGAGGAACATTACACCAAGGTCCTTCAGGAGGGTTCTGTTTCAACTGATAGTAGAAATGCTTTATTGGTCTTGAAACACCCCAAATAGGTGGTACACAAGTGGGCATATGGAAAGCAGTGCTGCTGCTGAGGGTGCACACTTGTGGGGAAAGGGAAATGGGAGATGAATAGGACAGATTTTAATCTGTGACTTTAGCTGGCAAGTGGAAAACCTGAAATCACATCTGCTTTAACATTTTTAATCTCTCCTACTTCAGCTTCTGTTCAGTGGTTTTATCTTGTGATTTTGTTAAGCCAGAAGATAAATAAGATGCAAGACTTAAACAGTCTGCTTTTTAAAAGTAAAACCTAGCTCAGCATTTTAACTCACCTGCATATGAAGAGAGACTGGAATTCAGTCAAATGCACCACAGTCTGTTTTTAAAGCTGCTCCTGTGCTAAGACTTTGTTGCTGTTTTGATTCACTGATTTGATGCACAAAGGCTACTATAAATTCAACTGATTTTTGTCTTCACAGACCAGTTTCCTTCTAGGATTTAAGACAGGTAGATCCTATTTGCACATTTAAACTTTATTTGCATCAGAAGGAAATCATACTTTTGAAACTGTGTGTATGTGTCCATATCCCTTTCTCTCCCAGCTATGCATTCGTGTCTACTCTGAAATTCCTTAAGTGTGCTGGTCAAACCATTTCAATGTGGAAAACCTAGTGCTTTCTGATGATGACTTTTGAGAGCATAACTTTAATGGCAAACTCTGAATTATTCAAATTCCTTAAATTAAAATCCTGACACTGTTTCAAGTGCTACTCACAGATGTCTGAGCTAATTGAAGTAGCAGAAGCAATCTCCTTGCACTGGCAGAGTGGTTTGTCAAGGCTTATGTTATCCTGCCTTTCCTCCCCTTCCATCTCCCGCTACTCCCCAAAAGACTCAAGACGGGCTGTGGTGGAGCTTGACTGACTTGGCATTTTATTCTACCATACGTAACATTTTATTCTAGAGTATGTAACTTCTTACTGAGAGACTACAGGTGGAATTCAGGATGCTGTTTCCAGTACATAAGCCAGCTCCATAGATTACCATGCTACGAAACTGCATGCACAGCAGTGGATAAACTGGTTTGTGTTCATTTGTTGAGTCTGATGTGCAAGTAGGACAACCTTACTGCTGAAGTTTTACCAGTTAAATGCTAAATAATGCTAATTTAGATGTTAACATAACTTGGTAATTTAAAATGCAACTTAGCTTGCATTGAGTTCCTTTAAGGAAAAGTCATAATTCACTCTGATTTGAAGAACTGAGTAGCTTCAGGTTGCCTGAAACAAAAGTAAGTCTAAGGTTATTTGTGAAACACCTTCTGTTCAGTTTCAAAGTCAGAACAGGATTAAAGTACATGGGGAGCAATTTTCCTATTTCCCTATGAAAGTAGGAAGCAGGATAATTTGTCTTTTGCTACTGTTGAGCGCTTGTGCAGCTATTTATAAGAGTGGCTGGGAAAATGAAGTGTTGAAAATAGGAAGCTCTAGCAGAGAATCTGGGTGTTGTGTCCCCCTTTGCCACTGCCAGAGCTATTTGCCGCTGGTGTTGGGCTGACAGTCTCTGGAAAACTGGGGACAGTTTTAGTCAGCTGTGTTCAACTGAGGCTGCTGCTGTAGCCTGACTTTGAATGCTTGTTTGATGAGGCTAAATGTTTGTCTTTCTCTCCTGGTTGTGCACTGGCATTTGTGACTCTGCTGCTGAGTTCTGACACTGGAGGCAACCTCTCTGCCTCCTGCTGTGTGAGAGAGTAACTTGGATAATGCTGTGATGAGGAAATTCATGGGCTCACTTTGCAGAAAGGGAATGCTTCAAAAACATCATAATGGTATATCTGTGTGTGTGCACAGGTGGTATTTTTCTGTTTTCATTTGGTTTGTGCTTTAGGGTGTACTTACTTATATTACTTATTGCTGTGAAGCCCTTAAAAAAAAAAAAAGAATAATGAAGTAAGCATTTACTCTTTTACTTGAAACAGCTGAACAACTGAAGTTTGATGTAAGACATTTGAGATTCGGTATTTATTCATTACCAGGATTAGCAGCACAGGTGGAGCAACCAAAGTCAGATGTTTGGCTCTCCAACAGTGCTTGTCTTTTCTCTTCTACTCCTGCTAATTTCTTTTTCCCCCCCCACACAAATAAGCCTACAGAAAATCAACAGCACTCTTGGGAAAACACCTCACAACTTCCTTTTCTGCCTGCACATTGCACATTCCTCTGTTTACAAAGCGCTCCCTGGACTTCTTCCCCACCCCTCTCATGAAGAGCTTTTCCCTGTTGGGCACACTTGTGACAATGCATCAGCTCTCTTTCAAATACTGCAGTCATATGGGTTTGTTTGTTTGGGGTGGGTTTTTTTAGGGTCGTTTGGATTTTTTTTAAGACCCTGCCACAGCTCAACAGGAACCAATCCCCTGCCCTATATAAGAATGATACCTTATAACACCTGCCATCAGAAAGGGCACCAGTATTCTCTGCCAAGTTGATCTTATGGGAGAAAAATGTTTCCTGCTCCAAGCCTCCTGAAACCAAAGGTTATTACTGAAATATGGGAAACTTAGAACACATAACAGTACACCAGTATATAAAAAAGTTACACATTTTCATATTTTAAAATTAAGTCATTGCATTTGAAAGATAGCTACTCCATTAAAAAAAAAATCAGTCAAGGAAGCATTTTATTTTTGTTTAATGTAAGCTACCACGTCATCCAAGGAAGTTAATCATAAAAATATCATTTAAGTAGGATGCAGACTGTAGTATGCTGAATGCAGGAATCACTAGAAGCCACCTTTTTTACCATTTTCAGAAATAATGAGCAGAAATACTGGCATTCGCAGAATATGGATAAAGGCATTTAGCCAAAATACAATTTTAAGACAAAAAAAGTGTATATCTATGTTGTGCACAGTTAAATCCATAAAAATGCTACCTTTCAACAGGCACTTTGAATCTTGGGTGTCTCTGCAGGAATTTGTCCAGGTGTCTAGGTGGTGGGCTGGGATACTTAGACTGAATCCACAGATACGTTCAAACATGCCAGTGCAGGTTTCTTGTCATGACATCAGTTCAGAAAGAGCTGCCACCACTGTAAGAAAGCCCCTAATATTAAACCCACAAAGAGTTTAACAACAAATTTTTCAAGCTCCAGGGAGCCAGAACCACTACAGCTGGGTATTATTCTAAGATTTGTTAAACTACTTTGGAATGTTGTTAGTGTTCTCAATGAAACAACTTGTGAGCTTAAATATACCACTATGCTGACGCTGTTCCAGTACTCTGTATTTCTGTAAGAAACTGGAACTCTGTAAACTAAAAAAAACACAAAACAGTTTTGTAGTTTGTGGCATTTTTTACTTTTTTTTTTTTTATTATTATTGTCATTTGGAGCAAATTAAGCATGGATCCTTCTCCAGGGATGACTTTGATTCTTTTCCAAACTTACGCTCTTTAAAGTACATTACCTGCAGAGCCCAGCCAAATCAACAGAAATGAGAACCTGGAACCTAATGAAATTGAATTTGATTCACGACAGGAAATTGAGTTGGTCAGATGTGTTAAAAATGATGGCAACCAGAAACTACATTATGAAGCTCTGTATAAAACAATCCCTTCCTTTCCTTCTCCAAGCCATCTGTGTATGTGTGGCTTTGCAAAGGAGCATGACAGTTCTTTGCAGAAAATGCACTAAAAGCAATGTTGTTCATCTGCAAAGTCAAGCTGCAAAGATGCGTGCAGGTGGTCTTCATCAGCCACTGGCTGAGACAAAAGCAGAAACATTTTCATCCTGTATTTATGACCAGGGTCTCTTTGATTGTAACAGGTCAGTTATGTTATCATTTCCTTCTTCAGCAGAAATGTCAGACCACACCACTGCTGCTCTGCTGCTCTAGCCCAGGATAATTGCAGCACAACAACAACTCATGGTGCCTCAGCAGAGTGGAAAGGCCTTTCCACCCCTCTCCTTGTGCAGCCAATACTGATGCCAGCAAGGGCATCTTGCTGAGCAATGTGTGCAAAACAGAAGCACTTCCCAAAATAAACCTATCGGCTGCAGATGGGTAGCCAGGCTGCATCCCACCAAGTGCTGACACGGGTCACAGGTTCACAGCCTAGGGCTGCAGGGGAGGCTTATGTCACTGTATGACAGACCCCTTGGCTAGCCAAAAAGAAAAACCCATACAGAAGCAGGATCCCTAGAAAAGACTGGAGATCATACTGCTAGTACATGAAAAAAACTCTGGGTAGGTTTTGAATACTCTGAATGTGGATTAAAGTTTTGATGGCATGCAGCCAAGATTAGATTTAAATGTAATAGGAATGGCAAGAAAACCATGCGAGATAAAAAACACATCAGTCTGAAAACACATTTAAGAGAAGGCAAGAAAGCGATTTTTTTAGTAAGTCTGACATTTTCTAAAGGAGGACAATGTAATAGCTGCAAGTCAGTTCCAACAGACCATGTGTGTTAACAGGAGATACTGATGGAGTTTAAAAAATAAAAATATCCAGATTTTAATTAAAATAATGACATACATATGAGACACATAGTAAAGGTCCTCTATGCTCCAAAATCCCCTTACAATAACTTTTATATCACAAATGTATCTTCCAGAGTCTGGAAGATTCTGGAGGGCTATACATGATTGGTTGAACTCAAACAACGTACTTTAACAAACACAGTATTTTACTGTTATTGTTGCTTTCTGCCATGGTCAGAACCGAGTTTTACAGCAATGCTTAAACAACAAATAGCATGCAGGTTTTGTTTGCTGAATTTGCATCTGATCAAATGTTAAAAAAAACCAAGCAAAAACAACAAAACAAAAAACCAAACAACAAAAAGAAACAAAAGTAAATCTGCTCTCATGAA